TTCCTCTACATGAGTCTCTACTTAATGTGACTCCCTGGATACCTTTAAATTGGGGCATTTCCTTTATTCTTCAGCTCAATCTCTCTCTCCCTCTGTCTCTCTCTCTTTCTCACTCTCTGTCTCTCCCTCACCCCTGACTCTCTCTTAGCAGTTGATATTAAGTGACTTTCCCAGGGTCACACAGCTAGTAAGTATCTAAAGTAGATTTCACCTCAGGTCCTCCTTACTCCAGGGTCAGTACTCTAACTGCCTAGGTGCCCCAATCACTCTCACAGAGGAGTCAACAGGGGATAGCAGATAGAGAATTGGACTTGGGAGTCAGGAAGACCTGCATTCAAATCCCACCTTTGACACATCCCACAACGGGATTGCCATATGCTGGGACTGATATCATGGAAACAGACAGAAACTAGAAGGTATGAATGGGATCAGGGTGGGAGGGTTGGTGACAAAGCTGCCTGATATCCATAGAATGTTCTTTAACTTTTCAAAGCACATTTAGAATATTTCATTGGAACCTTCTACCAACCCTGTGAGGTTAGCAAAGCTAGTTACCAGTCCCCATTGAACTGATGAGAAAATCAAAGCTGAGGAAGGTTGACCTTGCTAGGATCAGAGGTCTACAACTGAAAGGTTCCTGAGAGGTCATCTAGTCCAACCGTATCATTTTACAAATGAGGAAACTGAGGTCCACTGAGAGGAAATGACTGACCTAAATTCACACAGCAGTAAATGTCAGAGATGGGATTTGAACCCAAGTTCTCTGTCTTTAGAAGATGTGCTGTTTCCCCCACCCCCACTCTACTTGCTGAAGGTCACAAAGCCCAGGGATGACCAAGTCCCTCCTTCCCAAATGGATTCCCTCGACTCTTGCTATCATCCACCAGATTTCTGAAGTCCACTTTCTGAAAGAGTTTGAGTTGTGGACTGAACTTTTGATTTCATTGGTACAGGGAACTCCCAGGGATAAAACACTTTCTTTCTGCACAGATCAGCAGCTACTCTGCCATGTTTAGTCTTAGAGCACTTATTTGTTTGCCCAAAGCCACATTGCCCATACTCCACAGAGGCAGAATTGTGGGAGATTCAGGTGAGTAAAAATTTGGAGGTTTGCTTCACCCATGATACCTGCCCTTTCCTAGGCCCAGGAAGAACCTGCCTGAATCACAAGCTGAGATACCAGGAACAAATATTCAGATGAGTTTGAGGGAAGATAAAGGACACTGCCCTCTTTCTAAGTCTATTGGAACTGGGACAGGAGCCCTTACATGCTAATGATCACAGCATCCTTTGTTAGCTTGTAAATAAAAACTACATCCTTTGTTAGCTTGTAAATAAAAACTACAGAGCATCAAATTAAAAAATACTATTTCAGACATTGAGTAATGTTGATATTAGGTAATTCATTTATAGACAACTCTTCAGAGGCAGCTAGGTTGCTCAATGGTTAGAGCACTGAGCCAGAAGTTAGGAAGACCTGAGTTCACATCTGGCCTCAAACACTCACTAACTGTGTGACCCTGGACAACTCACTTAACCTCTGTTTGCCTCAATCCAATGGAAAAGCAAATGGAAAGCCGTTCCAGTATCTGTGCCAAGAAAACCCCATACAGATTCACGAAGTCACACATAACTGAACAACAACAACTTTTATAGCAGCAAAATAATTTTGCACAAAGAGCTAAATATCTCTTAAACACTTACTCATGCATTCCTTTATACACACGACTTCACAGAGATGGCAGATGGTGAATATTAGTTCTCACATCCAGGTAACAACATGCACTGAGATCTACCCAATCATTCTCTTGGGTCAGAGCTAATGATTGCTCTGATTATACCACTTAGAAATGCTGACATGAGCTGGGTGCCTCACCAATATCTTGGTCATCAGACTCTGCACAATCATTCATGATCTGTTGAATCATACTTCAAAACACTCATAATTCAGGGAGGCAGTGAAGTGCTGGGGTGGAAGTGGGGGGAAATTTGGAGTCAGCAGGTCTGGATTCTATTTCTAACTCTTTCACAACTGTGTGAGCTAAGAGGAGACACAAGATCTCTGCATCTTCATCTCTCAAGTAAGGGGTCTCTCCCAGTTCTCCCTTTCTATGAGTCTGAACAACAATCACTCCACTTATTTCCTATGAGCCACTGCCAACATTTATTTGGCCTAAGGAAGATAGGACCCTGGATTTATAGGTGGAAGGGACCTGGGAGGCCATCGAGAGCAATCCTCTCATTTTACAGGTGAGGAAACTGAGGCCTGGGGACGTTGAGTGACTTTGCCATAATCACACAGGTAATAAATGGTACCATTAGGATTTGAACCCAGGTCCTCTGAATCCCATTTCAGTGTCTTTATCAACTATACTATGCAACCTGTTGAGGGTATGCTCTATAAAATGTATTACATATATATTTAATAATGTATTAAATGTATAAATATGTATTATATATTTAACCAAGTTCTTTCATGTTGGAATATATGCCCACCCATCTTCTAATAATCCTAACATTCTGAGGAATTCATTCAGTTCATATTCATAGACCACTGGGGACAGCATCTTTAATATTTTTTTAGAGAATTCTTCATGAACCTTGGTGCTAATGCTTTAGGTCTGAGAAACAGTCACAAAACTTCAGCACCTGGAACAGGTCTGGTCTGAAAGGGATCCTCCTCAAAGCAATTCCTGAAGATAAACATTCCCAAGTTCCACCTGGCCAAGGCTGCTAGGTCCATGTCAGCCTTCCCTCCTGTCATTAGAAACTGCTCAAATAGGTGACTGCTCCCTTGGGGAATGGGAAGGAAAATGACTGGATGGGGAGTTCAGGAGTTGAGATACTGAAAGTCTCAGTTACCCAGGATCTCTATATCAATGACTACAATGGTAGGCATATAGGTCAATTTAACTCAGTGGTATTAAATGTAAGCCCCTAGAAGGCAGGAACACAGCCTACTTATATTTCATGTCTCCCAACACAGGTACAAGATTATTATCCACGAAACTGTTTTGGAACATGTGGTATACTGTGCAAGCAGGTTTTTATTGAACTGAATCTACTTGGCCCAGTCCAATGTCAATCCCTGGGGTCAAAATAGAAGGCTATATTATTTTTTCCCACATCCTTGGTAATTGTGATGGGTTTCCCCTTCTCCACTGAACTACAGATGAACCAGCCAGGATAGGCAGCTGACTCAAAGGTAGAAATGTTGCCAGTTGCATTTCGGTAAAATACAAAAGACTTCTCTGCTTTCTGGTTACGATATAATTCCATTATGTCCCTCTCCTGAAAAGTAAGAAGAAAAAGCCCATCAGATGGGGTTATAGAATTTCTGAATTTGAGAACTGGAAAGGATCTCAATGGCCATCCAGTCCAACTGATACACAAAAGATGTCCCCACTATAATATGTGTATGTGAGTATGTATGTATGTATGTATGTATGTATGTATGTATGTGTGTGTATATATAGTATGTATGTATATATGCATGTATGTATGTATAGTCAACCTCTACTTGAAAACCTCCAAGGATTGGGAATCCATCTCCCCCTGAGGTTGTCCATCCCACTCCCAGACAACTCTAATTGTTAGGATGGGTTTGCTGATATTAAGCCTATATCTGCCTCTTTGCATCTTCTACTGGTACATCCCAGTTCTGCCCACTGAGGCCAAATGGAATGTCAAATTCTTCTTCCATGAGATACCCCTTCAAATTCTTGAAGACTGATAATGTTTCCCCCTCTGACAGGCCCAAATCTTTTTCTATCCAGGCTGAGCATGCCAGGTTCCTTCAACGAATCCTCGATGGGCAAGAATCAAGATCCTCCACCATCTTGACTGACTTCCTCTTGACATTCTTCATTTTATCAATGTTCTTTTTAAACCATAGTGCCCAAAATTGAAAACAATACTCTAGATGAGGTGAGGCAAAAGCTGAGTACAATTGGGCTTTCATCCATCTCTTCCTAGAAAGCATCCTTTTAATGTAGCCAAAGGTTGTGTTAATTGTCTCAGGATTTTTTTGTCTTTTTTGTTTGTTTTGCTGCTTTTCTCCCTGAAAATATTAATCAAATTAATCCTACCATAGGCATCTAAATTCTGTTAAACTCGGATCAGGAAGACCTGAATTCAAATCCTGCCTCAAATACTTGATAGCTAGGGGACACTAGACAAGTCACATAATCTCTGGTTGCCTCAATTTCCACATATATAAAATGTGAAAGATAATAGCTCCTACCTCACAGGGTTGTTGTCAGGATCTAATGAGATAATATTCATAAAGTGCTTTGCAAATCTTAAAGTGCTATATCAATGATAGTTATTATTATCCATCACCATTGCCTCTCAAAGGGAATGTCAGTTGACTACCCTGTTGTTGAACTCATACCTGGGACTTCCCAGACCATTACTCCCATTGCTGGCCACAATTCCCTTATGTGTGGCATCTTCCCCATTAGAAGGTAAGCTCCTTAAAGGCAAGAATTTTTCTGTTTGCAGTCTCAGTGCTGAGAACAGTGTTAGCTCATAGCAAATACTCAATGTTTTTAATTCATTCAGTTCTGAGCACCACATTTCAGTAAGAACTTTAAAAGTACAGAGTATCCAGAGAAGGGACCCCAGGATGATGAAAGATGCTAAGATCATGCCACATAAGAATAAGATGAAGTAAGTGGTGGTGTTAGCTTGAAGGAGAACAGCTCTGTGGAGGACATGATACTTTTTTTCTTATTTTTTTTCATGATATCTTTTTTCAAGAGTTAGATGGTCTTTCATGTAGAAGAAGGATTTAAATATTCTCTGCTTCATCCCAAAGGGCAGAACTAGAAGAAAGTGTGAATACAACAGCAAAGATTCGGGATTAATATAAGACAAAATAACCTAATGATTAAAGCTCTCCAAAGTGGAATCAGCTACTTTGAAAGGCAATGACAGGAAGGAAAGAAGGAAGGAAGGAAGGAAGGAAGGAAGGAAGGAAGGAAGGAAGG